CAAGGGGAAGGCAAACCAGCTGGGACGGGCGAGCTCACAGCTCCTCTCCTCTGTGGAAAGAAGAGAAAACCTCAGGTGTGCCCATGGGCAGCCAGCACCCACCTGCCACCAGCGTGTCCGTGCTGCTGGGACACCCAGGGACATGCCCTCAAACAGGAGAGTTCCCATGGATGTGTCCCCTTCCCCTTTAGAGCCATCAAGGTTCTGGCTGAAGAGTCTGGTGGTGGCATCCCCAGTGGCCACCTCTGGGGCCAACCATCCCTGGACACATCTCCCTCCCCCTCCCCCTCCCAGCACCCCATCAGAGAGCAGTCAGGTTGGGAGCAGAGGCTCACAGGGCTGCCACACACCTAGTCTGGGACTTGTTGTCCTTCTCCTCTGTCTTGAGGTGGCACCGGCAGGTGGAGGCCTTGCTGTAGCTGACGGAGCGCTTGGTGGACTTCTTCCACTTCTGCGCACGCCGCACAACCCGCTTGAAGATGAGGTAGAAGATCTCACAGACGGTGAGGACGATGCAGATGGAGGAGGCTCCAACCATGAAATAGGTGAAGACTCTCTTCTCGGTTGGCCGAGCGATGTAGCAGTCTACTGTGTTGGGGCAGGGCTCCACTTGGGTGCATTTGACCAGCCGTGGCAAGTCAAAGCTGTCCCACATCTTGTGGAGGAGATAGAGGAACAGGATCTCTATGATAAGTTTGAAGAAGAGGCTGAGCAGGTAGGTCCACCACAGCCCACCATGCTTCTTGCCTGTGTTGCTGTAGAGCTTGGGGCAATTCTCCCCGTTCTTCTCCCGGTTCTTCTTCTCCCGGTCCTCCCGGTAGGCCACGTGCATGATGACCAGGAGGGAAGGGCAAGTGACAAAGATGAGCTGCAGGGCCCAGAGGCGGATGTGGGAGATGGGGAAGAAATGGTCATAGCAGACGTTGGTGCAGCCCGGCTGCCGCGTGTTGCAGTCAAAGTCCTTCTGCTCGTCTCCCCACACGCGCTCAGCCGCCACCACGTAGACCAGCACGCGGAAGACGAAGACCACGGAGAGCCAGATGCGGCCGAAGGCCGTGGAGTACTTGTTGACCCCACTGAGCAGGGCCTGCAGCGTTTTCCAATCCATGGTGGCCGGCGGACGCCGGAGTCACCCAACCTGGAGAAACAGCAGCAAAAGTGGTGGGTGAAGAACGGGGGGAGGTTGCAACGGGGCAGCTCATCTCTCGCTGCACTTAATCTCATGGAGTTGCCAGAATCTCTCCCTCACCACATTACACTCATTTGGGGTGGGGGGACCATCCCGCTCGTGGACAGTAAAGCCCAGCCCCGCGCTTTCCCGGTGACAGTCAGAGGTGACTCAGCCTCTCTCCACTTCCTTCTGACGGAGGCTTTGCCGAAGGGGATGAGACACCGGCCAAGTCCCCGGCCTGACCGTGCTTGTCGGTGTAAATTGGCAGCACAATCCCCCGGCGAGGGCCAGGATCAACAAGGGGAGGCCGTGCGGGGGGGGGGCAATGGGCTTCTCAGCAAAGGAAAGGCTTGTGGGGACACCAGCCCCACGAGCTGGCAGGTCCCTTGGGATGAGGGCAGGAGGGGACCCCCACAGCACATTTCCATCCACGACCCTGTCTTCCTTCTGGGCATGTGCTGATGCCCACCAGGATGGACCCCCAGTGCCTTGCCCCCCCTTTCTGCCAGCCAGGGGTAGGGTCACTGGTTGCTTCATGTGCTCCTGATGCGTCAGAGCTGCAGGGGGAAGGATGGGGGGCGGTGGGAGCCCCACATGTACGGTGGGACCCCATGGGAAAGCACCTGGGCAGGGGGAGGGCTGAGCTGGCTCCCTGTGGGTGCAGTCCCAGCCCAGCAGAGCTCCTGGTCTGTGGCCCCCAGGTCCTCCTTCCTCCCCAGGGTTTCATGCGGCTCAGCCACTCTCCCCTGCACGCCCTCCACCAGTGTCTTTTGGGGATGGATGGGGATCTTTGCCATTAGGGAGATTCCAGGGGATCTCAGGCTTGGTCCCAGCCTTCCTTGAGCCTGGGTTTGGTGGGTAAAATGGGCTAAACCAACCACCACGCTTTCCTAGTGCTGAGAGCCAAAGGGGAAGCGGTGGCTGCAGAGCAGCGATGCCGGGACACGCCAGGGACGGGTTTTCTCTCTCACAGGTGACACCCGGGACAGCCCAAGCACGGGCGAGAGCGGGGCTGCTGAAAGTGAGAGTCCGTGCGTGTCACCAGCATGTCGTCCTGCCTGGCACCCTGCTCCCACCCCGCTCCAACCCCGCTCCCACCCCACTCCCACCCTGCTCCCGGCAGCCCCGAGGCCCCGTGCCGGCCAAACCGGCTCCACGGCTCAGCCCGGGGCTGCCCTGGCGAGAGGAGGACGTGGTTCCGAGCCCCATCCGGAGCTTTACTTGGATTTCCAAACCCCGGGTGATTTTCACCCAGAGGTGAGTCGGCAGCTGTTGGTGTCTCCCACGGGTCCGTCCCGCACCGTTGGCTTTTAAGGAGCTGCTCTGGGTAACGCACACCCTCTGATGGGAGCGTGGGGGGGGTGAAGACCAGAGAGAAGCACCCCAGGATCCCAGAGGAAGCTGAGCCCTCGAAGAACCGAGCAAACGGGCTGCTCCAATTTCATTTTGTTTGACCCCCAAATGCCAATTCCTTCACCCCCAGCTCCTCAGGTCAATCTGTGCCACTCAGTCGCCCTCCCACTGCCCGGTGCCCACCCGGTGCCCCCAACACGTACCTGGAAGAGGCTCAGGCTCCTTCCCCGCTCACCGGGGGCTGCGGGGTGGGAAGTGCCCAGTGCAGGGCATGGCCAGGAGCACGATGGCACACGGGCGATCACGGTCCCCTCGTCCAGGGAGGGCTGTGGGGCGCAGCGAGGTGTCCTGGGGCTGCAGGGAAGGAACAGAGCCTGGAGAGCTGCCCGGAGCCCGTCCCTGGCCGGGGCCACCCCTCAGTGAGCCCCAAACCTGCCACCCTGCTCCCACACTGCTGGACCGGGACGCACCGAGAAGAGTGGCCAAAGCCAAGAGGGGCCACGCTGGGGTCCTGTGCCAGTGTGTGCCGAGTGCCAGCGCCTCTGCCCAGCCCTGCACACCCCTACTCACCACCTCATCCGAAACCGGGAGATCCTCCTCCTCCCCAGCAAACCCGCCGCAGTGTGCCGGGGTGGGGAGGAACCCCAGCGCTCCCGCCCAGCCCTTTCCCCTCCTCAGCCAAAAGCTGGTGCCCGTGGTGGAGCCCGTAGCCCCTGCGTGCCCCTAGGGCCAGTGCCCCCTCCCCAGCCTGCCAATTCGCCCATGTCCCCATCTTCCAGGTCCCCATGGTTGATGCCACCCAGTGCCCACTTGCCCGGCACCCACCTGCCTGGCTCAGCCCAGTGGCCATGGACCCACGGCGGGGTGGGAAGGGGAGGTGGGCTCTGTGCTGAGCTCTGTGCCAGGGTGTGGGGTGAGGTGCCGTGGGGGCCCCGCGGCCCGGCCGGTGCTGGCTGGCAACCAGGCAGAGCAGGGACAACGCTCCCGGAGTGCTCGGCTCTGCCTGCAGCACCAGTTTGCCTGCCGCGAAGCCCAGCAACCCTCACCAGCCCCCAGCGTGCCAGCCCGCTGTGTCACCACCAGGTCCTGCCCCGCGTGGGTGCAGGACCCACGCCTGGAAAAGCACACAGCTCCTGCCTGGGGTGCAAACCCAGCAGAGTCGGGCTGTGCACCTTCTCCTTGGGGGGCTCAGCCTTTTTGGGTCACCAGGAAGGGTGGTGGGATGGAGGAGTGGGGTCTGGGGTGGCCATTTCTGCTCCTCAGGGTGCCACCCTGTGCCATCCCCCTGCATCGCCCCCCGGGTGTGCAGCCCCATGGGCCAGAGATGCTGGCGCTGCCCCCACCTTCTGCCACCTAACACAGCTGCACCCCATTAGCACCGCAGGGTCTGTCCTCCCCACCACCTGCAGGTCTCCAACAGCCCTGAGAGCACCCCCTGTCCCTGCCCCCCTGTCCTGGAGGTACCTGCCCAGCTGGAGAAGGGACACAGGGAGGTGGCAGGATCCAGGCACCTTTCGGAAGCTCCTCGTCAGCCCTGCCGGGTGCCCGGGCTTTGTGTGCGCAGCACTGAGTGAGAGCGGGGAGGGGACGGGTAGTTTGTTCTGTTCCCAGTAACTGGGTGAGTCTGGCAAACAGCTCCTGTGGAGGTTCTTGTCTGCTCACATGCACACACACGCTCGGGTTGAACAATCCAGGCGAGTCAAATCCTGCAGCGAGATCCACGGGGCCGGATTCCTCCACGAGCAACACCAGCAGCTCCTGCCCCGAGACGCTCCGTCCCCCGCAGGGGTGGCTCCGGGCACTGCAGACCCCGGGCGAGACCAGGGTGGTTGGACACCAGCATTGGACTCACACCATCCCCCCAGCTGCCCGTCAGCCCGCAACCATTGCTAAGAATCACCAATTACGCAATTGCAACCCGCTTTTTAATGATTTTGCCTTAGTAATAGTTTTGCAACAGCTCATCGGTATCTCCAACCTGCAGCCACCGCCGGGGCGTCCCAGGTGGGACCTTGCCCAAAGAGTGGCACAGACCAAGCACGGCAGCAGGGACCCCTGCAGCAGGGACCCTGCCCCACCAGCTGCCTCCAGTCCTGTCCTCATGGAACCCGGGATGTAGCCCTAAGGGGACCATCCCTATCCCCAGAGCAGCGGTGGCTCCCGGGTTCCTGGCTCAGCCTCTCCCCATTTTGTGCCTCTGCAGACGTGGCCCGGCCAGGAATGTGTTTCCGCTCGCCCGTGGCTGCCCTGAGGCTTTTCTGGCATCACTCTGGCACCCCCAGGGCCGAGCACTCCAGGGCATTTTCCCGGGGCACCTGGCCAGGGCCACGCCTCCCATGGGGACACGTTTGAGGAGCCCCACCGGGTGCTTAATGCTGTGGGAGGTTTGCTCCCTGCACTTGTGGCCAACAAGGAGCCACTCACCCAGCAGCTTTTTGGCTCCAGGAGGTGAAATAAAGTGTAGGGGGGGGGGCGTTTCACCGAGGTGGGGACATGGCAGGGAGAGGCCACGGGAGTGGGACCCAAAGCAAACCCTCGTGGGAGCCTGGGGGTGCAGCGTGGGGTGAGCCCGGAGCAGGGGGCACCCTCAAAGGGAGGTCCCCGGAGCAGCCCCTCACCCAGGAGCTGCCTTCGCAGGGTGCTATCGGCCACATCAGGAATTTGAGCTATGTTGTTGTGGAGGAGAGCCTCTCCACGAGGAATCTGGGGGCTGTGGTCTTCGAGATGAAAAACCCCAGAACACAAGAACCACCGGCAGGTTTGACGTCTTGCCAAGGCAGCTGCTCCCTGCCCCACGGCAAAACTCTGTGAGGGCCAGGTGAAAGCAGGGCAGGACCCCCCCCGCCCCCCCAAAATAGCCTTTTACCTGCAATTTCAGCATTTCAGGAGAGGCCACGTGGCAACGGCGAGAAAGTTCAGGTGCCTTTTGGCATGGGTAGAAGATTTCCCCTACGGCAGTTGGGTGGGGAAGGGAAACACCCCGTGTTTTGCCGTGTTTTGCAGAGCTGAGCCGGGTAGTTGGGCATCCCAGCAAAGGGCAAAGTCCCTATGCCCCCTCCACCATCTCTCTGCTGACCGATCCGGTGTGGGCACGGGGACAAGGTGCCAATGTGGGTTGGCAGCTCCCAGCACCGGGGAGCCCTCGGAGGAGCCTTGGGTGCATGCATGGGCATGTCACCCTGTTGTCACCCCGCTCCAGCTCGGTGGGGTGATGGGTGAGTGGCTTCAGTGCCAGAAGTGAATACTAAAAACACCCAGTGGCTTCCAGCAGCCCCACCTTGGCTTTTCCATGAAGGAAAAAAACCCAAGCAGTGGAGCAGGCAGACGCCAAACCAGAGGAAAACCCCAAAATCTCTTTAAAAGGCCCTGCCTCTGATCTCCAGCTCCCTGCCTGCCCACAGCATCCCGACATCCCGGCCGTCCCGCTCCGGGGCCGTGTCCCTGGGGAGGAGACCTCTCTGGCCAGCACTGGGGCTGGGAGTCACAGGGGCCTGGGAGCCGGGGCAGCCGCTGGCTCCGACACATGGATGTAAATCACAGAGTTTCCCTTCAATTCCCAGCAAACAAGCGGTTTTGGGGCAGGGAATAAACAAGCCCTGAGTGGGAAGGAGAGGCTGTCCCCGAGCTGTCCCACCCCGCACCGAGCCCCTCCACATCCCCGGCTGGGCTGGAGTTAGTGATGGGTTTGTTTTAAATCCCTTCTCCGGGCACCCTACAAGCAAATTTAATCCCTTGCACGATGATGCAAAGTCATCCTCAGATTTTATTGTGACAACCCCAAAATAATTTGCTTTATCACCGACACCAGTCCTGCCTCTTTTAACTTCTGCATCCCAGGAGGTGGTGCAGCCCTGAGGACCCATCATTCCTGCAGCACCAGCTGGGGCAACCTCAGCTCCCCTTGGTGCAGAGCCCAGAAGGAGGTCAGAAAGAAGCAGCCAGGTGTCCCCGTTTGTCCCACCAGCTGCTGCTGATCCCAAGCCCGGATGGCGCAAGGCAGGCGGCGCTTTGCGGAGCGGCTGCAATTCCTGCTGGGAGTGAGATAGAGCAGCACGAAAACACACAGCAACTGGACGGCCCGGTCTCTCGCAATGGGCAGCAGCTCCAGCTGAGGCTTTGACATGTGGAAGTGGGGCAGGGTGGTTGCTCCGGGCCCCATCTCCGCAGCCATGAAGCGCTGGCAGCCAGGGAACACCTCGGGATTCTTGCTGATCGAGGGCTTGATCAACGGCGGCCAAACCTGGCTGGAAAACAAACAGCCCAGCCCTCACTCTTTAAATCAGAGGCAACGGCCCTGCACACAAAGGACAGCTTGTGTCCTCTGACATTAAAGGCTCCAGTAAAGAAAATAATTTTCAGGTGGGTGATCCAGGGAGCCCAGCAACGGGAGCGGACAGGAGGAAGGCAGAGTTCAGCACAGCCTCACATCAAAAAGGGGGAAGAAATCCAACCCTATTTCACCATCTCCCTCTCTTACCCCAAAGCTCTCCAAACTCACCGGTGTCTTCACAAGGAGCCACCATGTACCCAGAGGGTCCTGGGTTGGTGGCAGGGGTCCCCCCCCAGGGCTCCTCCACCATCCCACCCCTCGTGGGGTGGCTGGGCAGTCCCTGCAGCCCTCAGCATCCCTTTGCTGCATCCCCATCAGCACACCCCAGCTGGTCCCCATCCCCAGGGTGGGCTGTGGGACAGGGCTCAGCTGTGCCCAGCGAGGGTCTCAGGTGGGTGGGGGTTCCTACAAAGGGGCAGCAGCTGCAGTGACTGATGGCATCTCCCCCACCCCGGTCGGCTTCCTTTGCAGCAGAGCCAGGGAGCACTGGGGCTGCCGGTGCTCATGGAAAAAATAATAATCGCACCCTCTAAATAAAGCGAAACCAGTAACAGCTGCATGTTCAATGTTAATGTTACTTACGAGTGCATTTGCCATGAAATTATTGTTAATTATTCATCCTGGCTAATGCTCAGTTACCGTTGATGGCCTTAGAAATTGCAGTACTGCCTGAGTCACGGCAGAACGCGACATATTACAGCAATAAACAAGATCATATTCTGCCATTTAATGTTATTGTTTAATCAATGGTTGGGGTGTTTTTCCTCTCCTTTATTCGGCTGTTTTGCTCAGGTGTTTTTCTCTGGCCGGGCAGGAAGAGCCAGCAGCCCACGGCGGGCTCTGCCTGCCCGGCCGGATCCTCACCCCTGCACTTTGCTGCCACAGCAAGGACCTGCTCTTGTCCCCACTCAGCTAATGAGTGCTATTAATGACAATAGCATCAGCCTGAAATGGCCCTGACACCTGTGGTGCTGCTTATGTAGGGTGAGGACCCCAGAGGGGTTCCCTGGGGGGGCTCAAGGGTGCCTGTCCTGGCTGGCCCCTCTTCCCCACCACCTCCCAGCTGGTTTGAAAACTTGTGACATGTTTAAACCTCCCACGCGTGGGTCCCCGGGGATGTTCACACCTCTGGGTGTGCCTGCCTGTGCCCAATAGCCCATCTTAAATCAAGAATTTATTTATTTTTTTTAAAGCCAGGGATTACAGGGAGGTAATTAAGCGGTCCTCCTTGCTCGCCTACCTCCAGTGCCTGCCGAATGCAGCAAGAGCTCTGTTGTTGACTTTCTGGGTGCAAGGACAAGCCCTTTCCCAGGCAGCACAGACCTCGTAACACCCCGCACATCCCAAAAACCCCCCGCCCAGCCCTGGTGCTCCCCCTCTCTGGCCAAAGCCATCACTCATGCCCAGCTCCAGGGGCTGCTCCAATTTTCAGTGTTTTTTTTTTCCAGCAGAACTGAGCCTGCAGCCAGTGGTTTGCCCAAATTTGGCTGGTCCAAACCCAGCCCGGAGCTGGCTGTGGGAGCGATGCCTTTTCAGGGGCGATGGAGCCCTCACTCCCCTCTGGGTAGTGCTGTGCCCAAGCAGCAGGAGAACAACCGCTCTGGCCATCACTTCTTAGGGACAGACATTTTTTTTATTCATTGCAAGGATACCCTCAGGAACCAGCTAAAGCCATCGCTGATGGGATGTGGGATGGTCTCGACCTCCTGGCCCTGCTGCTGGTTCACCGCCGCCGTGGAGTTGCTTGTCCCTGCTGGCTCTCGGGGACCGCAGGTGTCCTACAGCACTGGGGTTACCCCGAGTTCAGCAGAACCATGCAATGTGCCTTCCCCAGGATGGGAGAGGCAGAGAGCCCTTGGGCACAGCCCGACTCCAGGATGCTGCCACCCCCCAGCACCAGGAGATGGAGGAGGATGAGGAGGAAAAAGATGGCACAGGGTGGTGGGCGAGCGGCTCCCGCCTTTCCCTGGGCAGCGCTAGAGAAGATTCTCCTCCTCGGGCGGTGTGCTGGGGCTGGAGTCTGTGGGGGGGATGGAGGCCGTGGGGGGTTTGTAGTCCACCCCATGGAAAACTTGGCCTCCTGTGCCCACGGGCTCGGGGTGGGAGAGGGCACAGTCCTGGCTGTGCCGGCGGCTGTCCCCACCGCTGGCCAGGAGGCACTCGCGGCACCGTTTGCCGATCAGGTAGGCAGCCTCGATGAGGTTCAGCATGACACAGATGCAGGTGGTGACCACCATGAAGAGGGTGAAGATGGTCTTCTCGGTGGGCCGGGAGATGAAGCAGTCCACCACGTTGGGGCAGGGGAGCAGCTCGCACTTCACCAGCCGGGGCAGGGTGTAGTTCCTGTAGAAGCGGTAGAAGATGTAGAGGAAGACCACATCCACGCCGGCCTTGAAGATGAGGCTGAGCAGGTAGGTCCACCAGAGCCCTCCCCGCTTCTTGCCGGGGTCGGGGTAGATGCAGCGGCAGTTGTCCCCGCTGGCAGCACGGTGCCTCTGCTCCTTGGCTTCCCGGTAGGCCACGTGCATGATGACCAGGAGGGATGGACATGTCACCAAGATGAGCTGCAGGGCCCAGAGGCGGATGTGGGAGACTGGGAAGAAGTGGTCGAAGCAGACGTTGGTGCAGCCCGGCTGCCGCGTGTTGCAGTCAAAGTCCTTGTGGTCATCGCTCCAGACCCGCTCGGCCGCCACCACGTAGACCAGCAGGCGGAAGATGAAGACGAGGGAGAGCCAGATGCGGCCGAAGGCCGTGGAGTACTTGTTGACCCCGCTGAGGAGCCCTTCAAACACCCCCCAGTTCATGGTCCCCTGATACTGTTAGCTACCCTGGGAGGAGAGAGAACACACAGTGACACCGAAGAAGCAGCAGGAGGTCCCCATCACATCACCTGAGGGTCCCAAAGCTCCTGCCCGGGTGGCCTCGGAGAACTGTTTGTGGCCGTTGCTGGCATGTGGGGACACGCACCAACACGTGTCCCAGCACAGACCTGGTCTGGGTGATGGTGTCCACAGAAGCACCGTCCCCCTCTGCGGGGTCACTGGGATCCAGCAAAGCTTCCTGGTCCTGCCACAGCAAAAGCATCCTTCACCACTGCCCACCACGCTCCATGCCCAGCCTCAGCCCAACGCCGTCCTGCGCCGCCCGCCCCGTCTCTCGCCTCGTTGCCCAGGTATTTGTTATTAATTTCCCTTACGTTGCCAGGCCCGGCCCAGGCAGAGGACAAATAGGAGCAGCCGGGACGTGACTCACCCGGCAGCTCTGCGGCTCCACCGCCGCGTCCTCTCCCATCGCTGGAATCTGCCGTCGCCTCCGCTCTCCCTCCTGGGCAGCGCGGGACCGGCCCGGTGCCCACCCGCTCCGTGCCCACACACCGGGGTGGCCACAGGGAGCAGGGCCAGCGGGCGAGCTGGGGGGGCCACAGACCCCCAGGAAACACCAAGGGGCTGACCCAGGGCCGGGCAGCCACGATAAACAATTTTCATCGTTTCAGCCCAATCTCACCCCGCACCAGCGCCAGGAACCCCGAGAGCTGGTTTGACTCTGGATTGCATCGTGACGGATAAATACACCCCAAATGGGGCTGCACATGGCACTGACCCTCCTTAAATATCCTGTCTATAAGTAAAAAGTTCCCCCTTGGCCGGCAGAGCTCTCGGGAGTGAGCACATCCTGCTGCCCCGCACAGCCCCGTCCCTGCAACGTCCCCGCTCACAGGGCTTGGGGGGGCCACAGAAGCTCCCCGGGCACAAACCCCCCATGGGGGCCGGCAGCTCCCATCTCACTGGGACGATCCCCGGGGACTCACACACAAACCCTAGATCTCTCCTTCCCCCTGCACACGGCAGCAGCCCGGGATGCGCCCATCACCCCGGCGTTGGGTCAGGCTCTGCAGCAGATGCCTCTTCCCCAGCCCCAGCTCTCCAGGGTGGGGGGCTGCAGCAGGGGGGGTGTTTCCATGTTTCCATGCTGCTTACCTGCGGGGTGTCCCTCTGCCGAGGCCGGCGCTGCTGCCGGTCGGTGCTTGCCCACGGCAGGAGCTCATCGCCCGGTGCGAGAGACACCGGCGCCGCGTGAGTCATCCCTGGGAGCGAGGAGGAGATTCCCGGGGGGAAGGGATGGGGTTCGGGGCAGATCCCCACGTGCTCCCCAAGCTGCCAGATTTCCTGGGGCGAAGCGTGGGGGGGCCTGGTCCTGCCGCCGTGCGGGGAAGGGCTGCATCGGCGGCTCCAGAGCAGGGCACAGGGGGGGTGCTCGGGGCCAGTTGCCCCCAGATGCCACGGGGTGCCCAGCATGACCTTCACCCCCTCCCTATGGCCGCCTTTGCCTGCTCAGACCTGATGAGGCCAAAGCTCTGGGAGCCCCAAGGCACCGGGACACCTCCCTCTATAATCCCTTTTTACCCAAACTTTGCACCGTGGCAATAACCTAAGAAGAGCCTTTACCCCTCCCCACCTTCTGGCGAGTGGGTGGCAGTTGATTATTTCACTGGGATTATTTAATTAACCACTTTTCCTGTGCTCCCCTCACTCACAAGCTGGCACAAGTCTCTTCCCATCACCCTCTCCCCATTCCCAAAGCCCAGGAGCCCTCCCAAGATGAACCCCCAGCTCAGAGAACCCCCTTTTTGATGCCTGACCCCCAGGCGCAGGGGGGAGCACAGAGCAGGGTTGGGGGTCAGACGGGTCCCGGGGTGGGGGTCCAAGGAGTGGGTGCTGCTGCAAGGGGTGCGAGAGCTCAGGTACAGCTGGAGTCATTTGAGGAGCAAACACACATTCCATTTGCAATTCTGCTGGGTTTTAAAAAAAAATGTAGAGAAACAAATCTAAACAGCTGTAAAGTAAATTACCACTGTTTGCGGATGGCTCCAGGGAAGAGTTCTGCAGTTTGAAATCAAACAAGCCCGTTTTTTGTTTTTTTTTTTAATGTGTCTGTGTGGTGGCTGTGCCAGGAAGGGGGTTCCCGGGGGCTGTGTCCCCCCGTGGGCAGGGAGGGCACAGAGCAGCCACCCATCCCAGGGCCGTGGGGGGGATGTTCTGCCCCAGGCAACCCCCAGGCTTGCAAGTGTCCAAAGGGGCTCTTGTGACTTTTTGGGTTAAAAATGCCCTCTTTTGGGGAGCTGCCAGCCATGATGGGCAGGTTCTGTTGGTGTTGGGCTGCAGGCAGAGCCCACCAGTGCCTCTGGTCCCCAGCCAGTGGCTCCTGGTGTGTCCTCTGCCCATGGGCTGGTGGGCACCGAGCTCCTGCAGCTGGAGCTCCTGTCCCACCCCTTCAATTTTCTGGAGAATTCCATTTCCCACTGGCAGAGGAGGGGGGGGTGAAGGCTGCACCCTCCACCAGCTCAAACCAGCCACCCTGCGCGAGTCCACGGTGCTGGGGACACGGAGGTGTATTAATGGCAACGCTTTATCTTCCAGGAACAAGCCCCATTAGTACATTTTCACTACAACATGAAATATTAATAACACTTTGCATTTATATAGCGTCATTCATCCAGGAGTCACCAGCCAAGCTCCTGACATGAATCAAACACCACAGCCAGCTCCGGAGGAGGCAGGTAAATAGGATTATACCCATTTTCCTGCTGCACACACTGAGGCACGAGGTTTCCTCCAGGGCACTGGGGGTGCTTTGTGCTGATGCCTGTCTCAGGTGAGACCACCAGCGCCGTTCTGCCCACCGTCAGAGGATGCCACCCACCTAAAGCTCCCGGGGCCACCTCTGCGTGGGGCACCTCCGTCCAGCCCACCCACTTCGTGAGGGATTTTGCTCTCCTCAGGCAGGAGTTGCTGAAAAAAAAAAACCACAAAGAAAAGAAAACAGAAAAGCAAAACGTTTCCTTGGGCCACTGACATTGATTTTTCCTTGAAGGTTTTGGAATGGAAGGAAAAGAATTTCCACTTTGTAAAATAACAAGAAGAATAATAATATTCGGAGCTTTTTTTTGGTCCTTCGACCAAAAAAAGAAGTCCAACTGAAGAAGTTCGGGGGGGGGAATAGCCCGTGGTGCCTCCTCCAGCTGGTGCCACGTTTCTGCCATCGATGGTGCAGGGAGGGGAGTCGTTCCTGTGTCAGGAAACCTGTCAGCCCAGGTACAGCCCCTGCTACAACCCCAGGGCTCCCGCGGCGTGCGAGAGCGAGCAGACACCCAGCGGGGAAAGGGCTATTTTCATCTTATTAAAGAGCCTTGTATTTAAACCCTCCTTCAGGTCTGTAGCACAAGATGATTGCGGAGGCTTTTACACACTAACTCAGCAGGAATCGCTGCTGCTTTCGGTGCTGGAGCATGCAGATGCTGCTTGGCAGGGCGGAATCCCATTATTGATGCTGGATAAATACAGGAAAATAGGTGTTGGGTGAAGGTGGAGAGTGACAGGGAACGTCTGTGTGCACAGAGCAGCCCCCCCCCAGCTGCTCCCCTTCCCCAGACCCCCTGTTATTCGAAGAAGGTGGCACCTTGTTTGCAGATAATTAAGAAACCCAAACAGATTAGTGAAAACCAAACACCCGGAGCAGGCTGGGTGGTGGCTAAACCCCTGGGAGAGTCGTGTGAGGGTCCCTGGCTGCTGCAGCCAACGTGACTGCTCCGTGCCTGCTTTGCCCCCCCCCTTCCCCATCCCCATCCATCCCCGCTGTGCTGCATCCTGCACTCCCCCATCCCCACCAATATCTTCATCAATGACACAGACACCCTCAGCTGGGGGGGGGGGCTGAGAGAATTGGGGGGGTTCAGCCTGGAGAAGAGAAGGCTCCAGGGAGACCTTAGAGCCCCTTCCAGTCCTAAAGGGGCTCCAGGAGAGATGGGGAGGGACTCTTGACAAGGGAGGGAAGCCACAGGATGAGGGGGAAAGGTTTTAAACCGAAAGAGGAGAGATTTAGATTAGATATTAGGAAAAAATAATTTACTCTCAGGGTGGTGAGACACTGGCTCAGGTTGCCCCATCCCTGGAAACATTCGAGGCCAGGCTGGAGGGGGCTCTGACCTACTTGAAGGTGTCCCTGCTCATTGCAGGGGGTTGGACCAGATGACCTTTAAAGGTCCCTTCCCACCCAAACCATCCTATGATTCTACTGTTCTAAGGCAGCACTGCTAACGAGGCCGCAGCAATTAAAGGCCTTGCTGGCACAGCAGGGGCCGAGGGCAGCGTGTTAATTAGGAGGGGGCTGTGGCCCCCGGGGGGAGCGGTGCTGCCTGGCCAGGGCGTCTGGATCCAGCATCACGGAACAGACGCTGCAGCGGCTGGAGCTGCGGGTACCACGGGGCAAGGGGAGCTGCACCCCCATACCCTGCCCCACTGCACCCCCGTGCCCTGCCCCACTGCACCCCCAGCCCCGAGGCACGGAAAGGACCTTCCACTGCCTCATTTCAGCCCCAGGAGCTGCTGATAATAACGCTTCCCCTGGTGCAGGTTTCCTTCACGTGGCCAGGCCGGTGGTTTGCAGAGATGCTGGGTCTGTTCAGGAGCTCTCCTTTTGCACAGCCCCGTTCCGGATGAGAGCAGGCAAACCCTCCACAGCCCAGCCTGGTAGCGGCCACCTAACACGGCCAGGACCCATTAATCTGCTAATATTTATAAGCGAGACTGCAGGGAGTAACCTCATTTCTAGGAAGAGCTTAATTAATCACAGAATCAACCTGACTCGATGAGACGGTTTGCTACCGAGGAGATAAATCTGCACGGTCAGTGGTGGCTGAGGATGGGGACGAGGTCAGCAGGGACCTAAATCACAGCAGGTAAGCAGAGGAGGGGATGGAGTGAGTATGGGGGCATCTCTCTGCACTGGGAAGAAAGAGGGGAGGCGCAGAGGGGAGGTGCTGATGTGGCACTTTGCCCATAAGAGGACAGAAATAAGAGCATTTCCAGTCTGTGCAGGCCATGGCCCCGTGATGATGGCAAGGGAAGAGCATGGAGGGCAAACTCATAACCTGGAGAGGATCACAGGCAGCCATCGGGTCTTAAACCCAGGTGGGGAGAGGTCGGGGTCCCAGGATGCTCTCAAAGGGGAAGCAGGGTCCAGCCCAGCCCCCAGCCCCTGCTGACTGCCCCAAAGTGGTCCAGTTGCATCCACGTTGCGTTGTTTG